AAAAAAAAAAAAAAAAATCACCTCTAGGCAGTTAGCTCACTTCTCATATACACTGACCAACTTCAGTTTCTTCTCTACTCCTAGCATGCTGACAGTCACCACCCAGAAACATTTCTCAAGGGAAATAAGTTCCTATGTATCCATTTATAAGTTTCCCCTCAAAGTTCTACTTAAAGGCCATTTTTTTTTAACATGAGTTTGAGGTTACATAAAATACTGTAGAGTCTGAGAACTAATTAGCCCACACAGGGAATTTTTAAAAACGGTTTTCTAAGTAGTCTTTAATCTTCTACAAACTAATTCATTCTGCATATGCTTCACCAGTAAATCAACTTAAAATATTGTTTTCGTCATCTCTCCTTTGCACAAGGACCTAATGATTCCCCTCTTTTAAATGAGACTTTGTTCAAACTCTTTCTGCAATTTCTGAAGGCTCCCAGTGTAGCCTTCTTATCTCATGTTCTTAGTCTTTAACTTCCCAAACGGTACCTTCCACTTTTGTTAGGCAGATCTTTCTACCACCTCTTCATAACATGCTGCTCTTACTTTTATCTCTCATAAATGCTCGGTCCCCAAAGTTGAACATCTTCACCTAACTTTTTATTTATACTAAGGTCAAGCTCAAGTTCATGACTCTGGAAGCCGCCCCTTTGGCCTGCACTGACCCATCTCTTCTTGCCTGAATTCAGACAGTCACAAATGCTTGCTGCTTGTAGTTTCACAACTGTGTTGTGTTACTATCATGGAGGTAGAGATGCGGGGGTGGTCACTGTTTCATGCAATGCCAACCACAGAAAAGAAAAACAATAACTATTACTTGAGCATTTTAAAATTTCAGATAATTGAAAAAACTTGATCCTTCCAAGTCAACCTTAAAATTCGCCATCCATCAATCAATTAAACAAAAAAATTAGAACACTGACTTTCTCCCCACTGCAACATAGTTTCCCGCTCTTCCACAAAACACACTGCCATCATAATGAGACTCCTGTGAGTGACTGCTCCCTCAAGATGAGGCACAGATCGAGACACATTCAAGAAAGGATATGAGATTGCAAGGAAATAAAGGGTGTTTATATATACAAACAAAGCTGGATCCACTCAAATTTTATTTAAGTCATTTTTAAACTTTGGTACTTTCACTGTTTTTCCAAACAAATCACTTGCTACTCACGTCTCACAACCAGTGGTTTTGCGTCCCAACACCACAGGTAAGACTGACTTTAAAGACAATCTAATCAGCAACTGCATATCTATTATTACATTAATGACTGTTTTATCAAAATGATCATATATGTACTTACTTGAAAGATATCTTGACTTTGGGTTTAAAATAGGGTGCATTCTGGTCTGCCAAAAAGACGATTAAGTCATTTCCTAAAAGAAACAAATATATATTAGAAAAATGTTTCTTGGTAAGACACCCAATCAGGTTACAAGAGGGTTTCTGGGCACTGTTCTTAACAAGAAAACTTATTCTACTCCAGTTCATCTGCCCTCTCAAGGACAGTCCCACTAGTCCAATGGGGATGCCTAATATTATGTCAAAAGTTCAATGTTGAAAGCAGCAAAGGAACAGAAAGGAAGAACATGGGAAAAAGCAGTTCATCAAGAGAAACTGAAGCCAGTGGATTCTGCAAGAAGTCAGACTGGTTGACTTAAAAGAACAATATAAAGATGATGCCTTATAACTATATTACATGTCAAGACTTGTCTTCCCTGAATCTAGCAATGCTGTCCCTTGTAATGCTGTTTGGTTCATTACATACATGCATGACCCCAAGGATGCAGGAACTCCCATTGTAAATATCCGACAACATGGATGTAATTAAGCTTGTAAGGAGAAAATCTGAATCCTCCAAGACCCTCCACCTATGGAACCATCCTACAGAGGCTGATACATTCTTCGAGCTCAATTAGTACTCATTGAGACAGACTTTTGGAACTGTTTAATCAAACACAGGCCATCTTTAAAGTCAAGGCCACTCTCTGTATCCAGTTTGGTCAGAGTAGCAACAGGTTTGGCAGTACATTGCTAAATGAGGAGTCAAAAACATTGGGAAAATATTCAGGTCTGTAAAAGGCTCTGCATCCTGGCAAGGGCCCCAAGTCTGGATCAAGATCCTGTCAGGCAAGCTCTGAGTAGCTCTTCACTTCCTTCCTTCATGGCATTGATCTTTAAGCCACATCTGCTTCTGTGGGTACTCAAGAATGGTAAGGACCACCCCCTGCAACAACGCCCACTGTCAGCATCAAGATTTATAAAAAAATTAGTTTTTTGTAAATGATGGCTAAAGCAAAGAATTTCCAAGAACATATTAGCAAAGAAAGTAGAGATTTGGAACACTAAGGTGATGACCAAGGTGAGGAAGGTGTACACGAAAGAAAGGCAGCTCAAGAGAGAAATTTCTGTAGTTTGAGAATGCTTTCCCAAGGAGGCACTGGGTTTATCAGTGGTCCTTCCAAAATGCTTGTGTGAGCTGTTCAGTGTTTAGGCCCTTGAAGGCACATTCACTTCAAAGAAAGCAGTGGCCTTGACAAAGAGAGGGGTGGTGAATTAGGTAGGTGGGGAGGCAAGGAGAAGGCCTCTATGAGAAGAAATTGTCAAGTTGCACCTTTTCCTGTTCATCAATGGGGAAGGAAGACTGAAGCAAAACAGAAAGGAGAGGGCCTTAGGAGCGAACGTTAAGGCAAGCTACAAAGATTCCTGGGAATCAGGAAGCACTTTGGAAGGCAGGTGATTCCATGGGGAGAAGAGGGTAGGGTGAGTGGGTGAAGGCCGCAGACCTCTTAGGAAAAAACCTGGGGTGCTGTCAGGGCTTTTGGGGGTAGGTCAAACTGTAGGGTGGCTGGGTCAGAACCTGGGATTGGAAAGGGTGGTGCAAAAGGACAATCTGTTAAGAATGCTAAAGGGAAGGCCACAGGGCTGGGAGAGAAGGGCCAGGAAATGCAGAAGAACCGGCCATTGGGCAATGGGTTTGAGGAACACCGGGAGGGGCACACAGACAGCGAACAGAGGGAGGGCCCGGCAAACACTGACTTTCCCGCAGCACGAAGAGGTCCGTCTGCTTGTCGGAGTTGAGGTCCCCGAAAGCCGCAAGGGTGCCCCAGGCCTCGGCCCCAAAGAGCTCGGCCGTGACGTTGTGCAGCGCCCGCGCTGGGACCGGCCCGACTCCCAGTAGTGCAAGCACCGCGAGGAGCGGCGCCAGCAGCGCCCAAGAGCTCGGCAGCCGGCCCGCCGCCGCCATGGCAGCCCCTCGGCCCCCGCCCGCCGGCCCAGCGCCGCGCTTGACGGCAGCCGCAAAGCACCGCTCCACCAGCGGAGAGAGTAGGCGCGCAGCCCGGGAACGCGTAGAAGCCGCTGCCGACTCCTTTTTCTCTCTCCTTCTAGGGCAGCCCTTCCGACGCTAAAAAGGCTGTGGAGCTAGGGTGAAAGTCGTCCTGACGCTCACTTCCGGCAGGAGCGCCTCCCGACAGTGTCGTGCGGGGGGGCGTGGCCGAGCGGGCACTGCTGACAGGCTGCCCTGGGGGCGGTGGCCAAGGCGGCTGCAGGAGCGCGATGGCGGGGGCGGCCGGGCTCATGGCCGAAGTGAGCTGGAAGGTCTTGGAGCGAAGAGCTCGGACCAAGCGCTCAGGTTTGGCTGACTGGGGCGCCGCCCCCCTACTCGAGCACCTTGGGTGGTGCTTCCTCTCAAGCACCTTTGCGGGAGGCAGGTGGGAGTCCTGGGAATGAACCTGTGCCCCGAGTTCCCCTTAGAAAGCAGGTAGCGGCCTCGGCCTTGCTTCTGATATCTTCTTCCACCTCTAAAAATTAGATGGCAATGCCAACTCCACTCTGTGTGTGCCCCCAACTCTTTTCCGCTTGTGATCCCCACTTGGAAAGTAGGTAGCGGTCCTGACTTCCCTTAGAGTCTTCTAACTTAGAAATCAGGCGGCAGTATATTCCTGGGAAAGGGAGTGTACCCTCCCTGTGAGTGTTCTCCGCCCAAGTCAGATAGCTTAATCAGATCAAGTCAGATGTTGTAGCTACGCTCTGGCTGCAGAGAGCCGGCGACTGCTCCTAACCTTATGTCTTATATCCCTTTTACATTTCCCACGGGTTCTAAGCAGTAGACCTGTCATCTGTGTAGCAGAAACTGAAGGAGACTGGGCCTCAGGTCATGAAGTGCATAGTTAGGGCTCAGAAGGAGGAGGGCTCCATCCTTAGGCAAGTGGCCCCAGATTTTCCAAGCCCGAGAGCCTGGAGGTCAGAAGGTGCCTTGTAGGCAGTTTGAACAGTTCCAAATGTCCCGAACTGACTTGTTCAAATTGCAGCGTCATGACTTGTGGACTTATCAGCACTTGTGGCTGAAAACTCCTCTTAAAGCCGGGATGAAAACTTCCCGTATTTCCTGGCTGGCTGGAGTTAAGCTTAAGCAAAAAGCATGCACTTAAACGGGAAAGGTGGAAGGTAGAACGCAGATTTTCAACTAAGGAGCTTCCCTTTGAAAGAATTGACTGTCATATTAGGGGATGTGAAAGGGATTAGCTAAGAAAATTCACTTTGCACTTGCATTGCTATTAAGAAATTATTTTTGGCTGGGCACGGTGGCTCACGCCTGTAATCCCAGCACTTTGGGTGGCCGAGGAGGGCGGATCACCTGAGGTCAGGAGTTCGAGATTAGCCTGGCCAACATGGTGAAACCCCGTCTTTATTAAAAATAGAAAAAATTAGCTGGGCGTGGTGGCACGCGCCTGTAATCCTAGCTACTCGGGAGGCTGAGGCAGGAGAATCGCTTGAACCCAGGAGGTGGAGATTGCAGTGAGTAGAGGTCGCACCACTGCACTCCAGCCTGGGCGACAGAGCGAGACTCCATCTCAGAAAAAATAAAATAAAATTATTTTCTCAGCTAATATATGCCCCTTATATTTTAGGCTTTTTCCCCTTTATGAAGTTCTTAGTTGTCTGTTGTACATACTTTTTTTTTTTTTTTTAATTTGGAGAAAGTAAATCTAATTTCTGAAAATCTAATTTCAGAAATCATACACCTAACCTTTATTGCCAATTTCATTCTGTTTTTTATACCTTACAAAAAGTTCTGTTTTATTTAGGGTTATAGTAAAATTACCAACTATGAAATATGAGAGAATTTTTTCAAAAAGTTGTCCTTAATACTACTGAGAATCAATAAAGTGACTTGGAATAGTCACATGTATTTGTTTCATACTTTTTCTTAAATTTTTTTTGGTCTCATATAGGAATATTGATTTGGCTACTAACAATGTGGCTATCTGGATATAAAAAGTGTTATTGGATTGGTTATGTCTGAACAAAGAAAGTAACCAGAGTTTTCTTACAGGAACCTGAGTACTGCCCCCAACATATATTTTTGCAACATTTCTCTTTTCCCTTCCTAAGCACATAGAGTTTATTTTCTTCATCAGTCTTTGTTTCCTCTGAAATGCATGTCATAACAGTAAGCTTTGAAAACCTTACTTCTCTTTTCTTAGCTGAGAAAAAGAATTCTAGTGTTAACTGTTGAATGCAGTTATTTAAATCCAGTGTTATGTGCAAAGTGCATAATATCAATGTTGAATGTTCCTATGTGTTTACATTGTAGTAGTAAAAGGAGATACCAGTTGAAGTCATCCCTCCAAATTAGTAGTTAAATTTCAGGTTTCACATTCTTATAACTATGTTAAGTACAGATGATAAAGTTAATAACTCTTGAGTTAATAACTTCCTATGTCATTAGAAACAATCAACTTGATTCTGTTTGTTACTTTTAGAAAAATATATAAACAGGGCTTTGTTCAAAACTTCCACTAACCTGACTCCGGTGTAGAGTCCTCCCCACAGAGTTTGAGCATTGTTACATAGTAGCATATTTACTTCACTGCACAATAGAGGATACTACTTTTATATGTTTAATAAGTGGATATTATATAGTTCCTGCCTCATCCATATGAGCAAGTGTAATTTATCAAAGCGAAGAAAATCACATTTTCAAGTCATAAAAGAGAAAATAAAATTACAATGATCCTTAGTTACTGCCTTTGTTGCGCATTGCATCATGTTAATAACTGCTCACACTGCTTTCAATTAATTTAACACTGATTGCTTCTAACCTTCACTAAACAGTTTTAAAATTGCTATAGCTTAGCCTGGGACGCTTATGATTAGAGCCAACAATTTGAAATGGCCTGCTCACCTGATGCAGTCGTCTCCTCGTCTTCTGCTTTCTTAAGGTCTGGTAAGTGTTGTAGACCCCAAAAGGGTCACTTGGTAATTTTAAATCCCTTTGTTTCTAAAGGTTGATGTCACATAAGATATCATTATGTCTTTATTTCTTCTTTGCTGGGCCCAAGCCTGAGTACCAGACTGGTGTGAGGCTTAACTTTGCATTGTGTTTTGAATGTGGCCTGTTGTGTTCTTCACATGTGGGATGTGAAAAGGACAGAGAGTGGAGTGCCTGCCCTGATACTTGCAAGCTGTTTGAGCAGATGCAGTTCCTTAGTGTCTGGGAACCTTCATTGTTAAATGTGCACATAGTGTATTTCTTAAATGCTTTTTGTCGTCTTGCCGCAATAGAAGTAACTTTTACGAATTAGGAATTTGTGGTCAACATCCCATTCATCTATTCTTCATCAGCTTACTGTGAAGCAGGCTATTAATATATACGTTTTCACAGACAGGAAGTGACTTGTCCCAGGCAATATTTTAAGGCCATGTGCTTTGGCTTTTATCCTGTGGCTTCCTGGTATAAGGGCTGGAACAGATATTGGGACAGTGACTCTTTGATTGTTATGTTAATGCACCCCTTTGAGAGCTGGATGAAAGCTATGCAATTGCTCCCCAGATGTGTACACAGGATTTTGAAAACAATTTCTGGGGGATTCATGGACACAGACATGATTACATATGGATTCCCATTAGGAACCAGGCCTTTGGATGTATATAGTCTCACTTTACAGAAGAAGAAACACATTTTGTTAGGTGGCCACATAGCTGAAATGAAAACTGAAGCATTTAGAGCCCTTTTCTGTAGTTGTGGCCTAACTTGGGCCATTTAAAACCTATTATGTGCTAGAAAACACGGAGAAGCCTGCTGTTAAGAGGCTACTTTTTCTGTAATGTCTCTTAGCAGAGTATTTCAAGCCTCAGGACTCATGAACAGATAAATGTAAGATGAGCACCCCCAACACAGTGAAAACTCCTTGGCTTCACCATAGAGTTTCAGAAGTGTTTCTCTCTCTTCATTCGTTTTCATTTATATTTCAAGTCCTGTTCTGGGAAGACAGAGGAGGAAAATCTTGAAGAAAATAAATAGGAAAGAGCTTAAGGAAGAACCAAATGGAGAAAACAAAAACTTACTCTTCAAGATACTAAAATGATTTCTATCTTTAGGTGTCATTTGCTAAACGACAAAATATTATATGTAACAATGCCAATTGGTTTCTGATTTTATTTTTGAACTAAAAGAACAGGAGGACATATATCCTAGACTGTGTTTTCTTTCGTTATAAGCACTAAGCTCTGTTTTCCATCTTAGCTTTCCTACTAAGAAGGAAAGTGGTTTTAAGTACTAGCAGTCATTCAGTAGTAATGGGGAAATAGAATGCTTAAAGATAGCTTTTATGCATCAACAGTCTTGAAAATTTCTAAACCCAAGAACTGTGCTTTAACATTACATAGAGTGTTTGAAGACATATACAAGAAGCTTTTCCAGTACTGTATCATCAAATTGAAATGGAATGCACCAAGAAACAGACTAGAAAAATATTAAACTTTAGTGTTACAATCCATTTTAAAGAATGATTCTTTATAAATTACTTTCAATGTTGACAGTTTTTTGGGAGCTCATCTGACCAAAACTTAGTAAAACTATAAAGACACACTTAAAACTTGTATCTGTTAAAGTGGCAAGTACCATTTCTGCTTGTGTTAGCTTAACTTTGAATTGTATTTTGAATGTGGCCTGTTGTGTTTGCATTTCAGTACTCTGAGTGGTTTGCATTTATAATTTCTTATTTAGAAATACTGCATTTATACTGGAATGATTTGCTTTCCCTTATTGTAGTTCTTTGGACATTGTCTTTATAGGGATGTGTTTTATTGTGTGATTTCATTGAACAATTATTTTAAATCATGTCCTGGCTTCACAGCTGAGCTTTTCATTGGTACTTTGGCTAGAAACTATCCAGTATTGCCAAAAGTGAAAGCCAGTAGTATCTTGATTTTGAAAAATTCATTTTCAATGTACTTGCATTGTTTTATGTATTTTAACCCTTCATATTCCTCCTGGATATGTTTCTGCTTTTTGTTTTTTATTTGTTTTTCCCCTTTGTTGAATTTAGTGTGAGTCCTGCATTTCGGTATGTGCATACTTGAGTTGTGCTCTGCTTATGAAT